CATTTGGATTTTAATTTTTAATTTGGTACAACAGTTTTTTTCAAGGAGTAATTTTTGACTGAAAATTAAAGCTCATTACCTGGATTGGAATAAAAGAATCTTCAATAAGAATATCTTTGAAGAAGTATTAAAACTACTTTTACTTGAGTTGGAATAATAAAAGATACGTAACGTATCACTTAGATTCTATTCAAAAAGCTTATTTTTAGCGCCTTCTTTTACCTTTTTTTACAGAGGTAAGTTTGTACTGATATCATGCATTTTGTATTATCAAATACCATCATGCGATTTCGTTTGCATCCAATCTCCTTTAGTTATAATGGTTAAAACGGTGATTGTCTTAGAAACTGTACAATAGCGATCTGTCTCAAAAGATACATACACAAGATTGTAGCTTCTGCCGAATCAAAATTAAAATTTTTTCAATACAGCTCTTGAAACAAAGACATATGACCTTAATTACTGTAATTACGTGTGCTCGTAAGTTTATTATTCAAATGCAAGCGGTAGGGACAGTGGGCGTTGATACGAAAGTCGTGCAGAAAGTTGGATTTGACATTGACCATTGATTTACTATATATGATATGCCCTCTTTTCATCTGTGAGGTTCAAAAGCACTTGAGTTGTTGATGGCGGGAAGTCGGCCCCTAAAATTAGCTACAGTGACATATTGGTGCGTCTGGGATCCCCTGAAAGAGATATGGTTCCCCTTCTTCTGCCTTCTAAATTCACAAAGCAACTGCCCTGGGAAAATCAACTGACGCGTAACTAAATAGTGTATCATTAATTCCAACGTGTATGTTTATATCGTGTTGGTTCAAGTTCACAGAGCTCTGCACGCTATTGTCCCTTTAATTGTGATCGCAGAAGAAGGGGCGTCTTAGATTTTCCAATTGGGCCATTTGGCAATTACTAAAAAAATGATGCGTTGTTATATTGATGTTGAGCGTGTGCATAAAGGAAAACAGTAAATATTACATTTATAGTATTCAAAAGGGACGCATTTTTCAACACAAATAAATAAAGGTAATATTTTAATAAGTAAAAAGCAATTAACATATGTGTAATATAAAATTAATGAATTGATCCTTCGGCTATCTCATGGGATATCTTACGTCTAACAATAATTTCTGTAAGTTTTATACATTTTATCTTAGTACTTTTGAAGCACGCGTCGATTATTGCTTCGTTTTGAAACGTAATTTTAAGTCAAAATTAGAAGTATAATTTTATATTACTAAATTATTAAACAATTTAATATTATCTAAATTATATGGCTATTATAAAACTACAATAAATATATTCGTTATCAAAAATATTACCCTGGTTTCCTAAAAATATATTGAGTGTTGTTTATAAATTTACTTGAAATACTTTCTTCTCCATTTGCATAAATAAAAGGAATTGAGTTAAGAGAATAATTATTTAATGAGGAGCTTTATATAATACAACAGAATAGGAAAATTAATGAGTGTATTACATTTAATATAGATGTGTTATGACAACAGACCCGAAAATGACGTCAAATTTACATCTGTTTTCTTTATTTCATGTTGATTGCATGTACGTGCGTGCGTGCTTGTTTGTGTGAATGTGATGTATAAGTTTCTCTATTTATAAGAACGAAAATAAAAGGCCAGAATAATGTTCATCTTTTAAAAAACAAAAAAAATGGCTTTTTCTCTTTTTTTTTTCTCCATTATAATCAACTAGGAAAACATTTGATTTATCCCAAATAACATTCAAGTACCTTAATACTAGTATAAAAACATTCTATTTTAGAGAGTGTAGAAGCGTTCTTTTTGATGTCGAAAATGTACACAAATAGATGGATACAATTATGAATAGAGTTTCGACCGAAATTTCAATTTCGGTTTCAGTCAGTTTTGGTAAAAAATCATGGTTTTGATTTGATTTCAGTTTTGGCCAGAATTAAGAGAAAATTTCAGTGAGTGAACCGAAATTATACAAGTTGCAACGCATCGGTAAGCGTTTAAAAAACAACTGCTCGATTTTAATTATTAACTCGTTGATTAAACTTAAGACAATTTGAGTACAAACTTTGATGTCATCCTAATAATAACTGTGATTTGATTTCTTTAAAAATTGGAGAGGCAATGTATTATTATACAATAAAAAAAAATATATGGGCAATAGTTCAAGATCCCACCGCGAGTTTATTTTACACTTATCGCGTATGCAGATGAAATGTAAAAAAAATCGAAGTTCGTGTTTAGAGCAACATTAAACCGCAAGGGTGTTTAAAAATAAGTAGTCAGGAATATCGTCAATTATGACTTACGACTTACGAGAAAAAGAGAGAGCGCGCAGCTCCGAGCGGTGAACAAGAACGCAGCAACTGACGGTTGAACGTGTGCGCGTTTGTGTTGTGACTGTCAGTTACTGCGTCCTTGTTCACCGCCCAGAGCCACGTGCTCGCTCCTTCTCTCGTAAGTCGTAAGTTGAAATTAATGATATTCCTGACTACTTTTTTTAAGGCACTCTTGCGATTTAGTGTTGCCCTTAACAACTCGCGGTGGGATCTCGTACTACAATGAGAGCATCAATACAGAGCGGAAATTGGTGCGTAATTATAACAAGAATTTCAATTAATTCACATAATATATTGTACTACAATGTGGATACAAAAATTTCTTTGGACGTTTTGGTTTGCTTCAAACTATCTTCAGTAAGTTGTGACAAAATTTTTTTTAATGTCTTATATAATAATTTGCAAAATGTTGGATAGGATTCTCATCAATGTCTTTACAAATAGTTCGCAATATTGGAAAAATATTCTACGTGAGACCAGAGGATAAGTGCATCCTTACTGTTAAGTTGAGAGTTGCCAAAAAATTGTCTCTTCGCTGTTAAGCTAAATGACTAGCTGAAGAGAGCAATGTGCAAATCGATTAGTTGCGTTGTTATTAAAATATAAGTGTATTTATTCAACTTACCTTCCGTCTCCATAGATCACAATCAATTATTCCAAGCGTAATTTTTAAAAGAATATAAAAATTTTTAAGTTATTATTATAAAGAGAATAAATTATAAAAGATTATAAAGATTATTAGGAGTGTTACCCAAATAAAAGTCAAAAAAGTAAACCGCCAAATTTCTTATTCTGATAGCAATGTCTGCACAGATCAATACATCACTGTTATAATGTCAAACTTAAAAACAATAATTAAAAACGAGTTAAAAACAAATACACAAAGTCGCTACTAAATTTCTCTAGAATGTTCACATACAAGTGGTGCAAAAACTCCGTATCTGATTGGAGATTCAAACTATTAATTTGCAATTTAATATTCAACATTTTAGAGATGAGTCTTTTGTTCAATTATTTTTCTATTTATGTCCAAGATTTTGACATTATCCCATTCAAATTCATGTGATTCAACCTATGCTGAGTGATGACAGATTAACAAGAAGTTTTTCTATTAATTTGATTTTTGTGCTCCTTTATTCTCGTTTTTAATGAACCGTTTGCCAACTATAGGTTGTATCATAATCTCGACATTGTAATTTATAGACGACACTCTTATTAGAACTTGAAGGACACAATTTAACAAAATAAAGGCTTATTAAAGTCCATTAGACTCCCTTCAAGTTCTCATATCTGAAATGTTGGATATTAAATTGCAAACCAATAGTTTGAATCTCCAATCAGATACGGAGTTTTTGCACCACTCGTATGTGAGCATTCTAGAGAAATGTAAGTAGTGACTTTGTGTATTTGCCTTTAGCTTGTTTAATTATTGTTTTTAAGTTTGACATTATAACAGCCATGTATTAATCTGTGTGGACATAATTCTCAGAATAAGAAATTTAATGATTTACTTTTTTTACTTCCATTTGGATAACACTTTTAATAATTTTTATAATCTTTTATAATTTATTTTCTTTATAACAATAACTTAAACATTTGGGTATTCTCTTATAAAATTGACGTGTTACGCTTGGAATAATTGATTGTGATCTACGGAGACAGAGGGTGAGTTGAATAAATACATATATTTTAATAACAACGCAACTCGTTTTGCACATTGCTCTCTTCAGTTAGTCACTTGGCTTAACAGCGAAGAGATAATTTTTTAGCAACTCTCAACCTGACAGTAGAGATATACTCCTCTCGTAGAATACTTTCTCACGTAGAATACTTTCCAACATTGCAGACTATTTATCAAGACATCGACGAGAATTACCTATCCAACATAGTTTCTTGTTATAATTGTGCACTAATTTCCGCGCTGTATTGACGCTCTCATTCCCCATATATTTTTTCATTATTTTTATTTTGAGAGCTTTATATATATTTTTTGGAAGTTTCTATATTATTATAGTTAGATATTTTAATAAAATCTTGTTTTTTTTTTTAAATGAGAGACCGGAGTCAGTAGACTATAGAAGAGCAGAATAATCGAGGCTAAAATAAAACACGCAAGACACGCATGAACATGTCTGAGCACGCAGCAGCGACTGCTGCTTAGTCTGTTGTAACATGCTGGAAATATACAAGGTGAAATACTGCGCATAATGGCTGCTAGACTAGAATAGAACAACCAATCAAATTTTTGCTTTACATTTGGGGCAAACATTAGATTGGTCAAAAAGCAGTCATTACATGTTGGATGACTGTATATCCATGGAACTATCTCGCCTTATATATTTCCACCATATATGCTGTAACATCTTGATGAGAACATATCACATAATACAGGGTGGGCCATCTATTGGTACGTTTTTAAAAATGCGATCAAATGAGCATACATTGATATTTTTTATTAATTTTTTTTTTGTTGTGAAGCTAAAAGTATCCGCGTCAAGAATGAAAAACGATTTCGTTCATGTGGCTCCCTCTACTGGCCTTACAGTATGCCATTCGGTCACCCCAATTATTAATGACATTTTGGACTATGGACATATGGACATTTTGGAGCTCTGGGACCACTTCTGTCATCCACTAACATCCCTTTCTCACGAACTTTCCTCACCAATTTGCGTATAGCTCCTTCGGTGGGTGCTCTATCACGACCCATATTTCTTTTCAAAATTCGTACAGTTTCGGCGACACAGCACTGACTTTGAAAATAAGTTTTTAAAATTTCAAAACGCTCTTCAAGAGAAAACATGTTGTTTCGTGCCGCGGACGGTATGACTAATAAACTGTCAAAATTTCGGGTCTGTAGCTCGTTTGGTGTTGCCATACGACGAAATTCAAAAACGTACCAATAGATGGCCCACCCTTTAGAAGTTACGCACAATTTTAAAAAATCGCACACGCAAAAAATATTTTTATTCTTAAAGTTTTTGTTTTATAATTGCATATGATTGTCTGAGATATTTAGATTTCTAATCAGATAGTAAGTTTAGTACTTATTTAATAAAGTCCAACAGATTTCTTTTTGTTTATCTGTCTTTATTATTGTATACTGTTAATGTTTTTAAGAAATGAATGAGAATAGTAGGCTAATCACAGCTAGCATATGACCCATTTAGTGACGATTCTTGTAGTACCTACTCTCAAACTTTTTGGAATTAAATCTCACCCTAAAAGAAAATACAGTCAGTTTTGAAAAAAAATATTTCACTTCTTGAAAAAGAATGATAATATTTCATTTCTTTAAAGAGATTTACCTCAGTGATAAATGTTACAAGTTTAGTTCTCTTACGTCCAGTTTTGACAAAACTAAGCTCATTCGACGTGTTTTTGCACGAAACGAACGAATTTAGCAAGAAGAAACATTGTTCTGCCCTGCAAAGCGAAATATTAATTGTTGAATACAAAAATTAAATTTGAATATGTATTACGATCATTAGTTTGTGATGTTGCCAACGTTCGTGAGTTTTCTTCTTTTTATCGTGAAGCATTTTTATTACTATTTTTTACTTACACGCAGTTTAATTTTATTTAATTTTATATTTAAAGTTTCTTGAATCTTTCTGTCTTCTGATCTATTTCTTCCGATCTTCCAATCAAATGTAAGTGAGCATTTTGCGATGGATTTAAATGAACTCTCTATGACAAACCATGGCTTGGACCATCGAATATATAGGTCTTTTAAGTTTTTTTTTTTTACGCTTTGAAGAAGGCTAAAAAATGACTCGAAATATGTAAGCTTGAGATTTTAGATTATAAACTACTACAATATTTTTTAAATAATATATTCTTATTTTGCGCATCAATTCCCGCCCAACTACTAAATGCTCTTTTCTTATTCAATTTTCTTTTAACATAAAAGAGTTTTTACTTTTTTTTATAATTTTGCTATACTGATTGTAAGTCATTCTCAACAATCATATTTTCAATTTATTTGGTCTGTTTTTGAACCCGAAGCTATTATAATAGATTACATAAATTATGGATCAAATTTCGTATTAATTTAACTAAGAATATTTTACATTCTAGATTTATTAAATATTGTATCGTTAACAACGTTATACCATCAAATTTGCATCATGTATATAATGTTAAGATTGATCTCTTTAATTACAATTTATCAACAACACAGTTAAAAATTTAACTACGAGCTTCCTTTACGTAAGCTTCTTTTATAAATGAAGCTCGTAGTTATGAACAAAATTAAAAGTAACGAATGATTAAACTAAAAATTAAATTACAGTAGTTACTTAAGTCTAATGAATGTATACATTAAATTTCATAAATTTTTATGAAAAATATATTAAATTTCATGTAAATGTATACAAATATACTTTTCAGTTATAAATACATTAAATTTAATGTAATGTTATGAAATTAAGTTCAAATTGTAATTTAAAAGTATATTAAATTTCATAATATTTTTAACAATGAAGATATGATCATATCAGGAGTCAGTTTGTTGATAAGATTTTAAAACTAGAATTAAATGACACTTACAGAAAAACAGATTATTATCAAACACAATTGTTTCGTCTCTCACGAGAGGTAACGCATTGCCTCCCTACTTACATCTGCAACTATTTTTTCCATAAACAAGAA